GGCACCATGTTTGCCTGGTGACAAGGCAGGGCTGTGCTCTCAGCAGCAGCTGTGGTGTGCTGCTGACCCCCAACATCTTTGCTTTCCCTCCTCTGCCCCTCTTGTGCTCCAAACACCCAGAAGAAGAGCTCCTCTACCCAATAGACAAGAGGTGGCAGAGATTTGCAGCTGAAATGACAAGCAAGTGACAAAGTGCCACCATGTCCTCAAGGGATGTGCAGGTTGTCACTCGAAGCTGGGGGACCCCATTTCAATCTGCCTCAGCCTCCAAAGTTGTGTCCTCTGTGGCAGTGCTGCTAAGTGGAAGTGAGTCCCTGTTCCCTCCTTCCCCATCCAAAAAAAAATTCCCTGCAATGCCATGGGCAGCAGCTGCCTGCATGGGGCAAGACTAAGGGGGACCCGGGAGCATCTTTTGCCTCTTCCCCCAGTAGGAGCAGCGTGGGGACCCAGCTGAGCTCTGCCAGCCCCCCCCAGCCCGTGTGACAGCCATGCCTCCGGGACAGACCCAACTTTGTTTGGGGTTGCCAGGAGAAGGCTTTCCCAGAGGCGCCGGTGTTGCCGGGGGACCAGGGATGCCAAGCGGGGCACTCACTGGCTCCGGAGCAACGGGCCAAGCACCAGGAGCCATGGCAGGGCCAGGGAGGGCAGCACAGCTCCACTGTGCCCCCTTCACCCTGCAGCAGAGGTGGAAAGAAATCATTTTCCCACCTTGGTCACTTTTTAGGGGGAGCAAATCCCACACCAGCTCCATCTCCTGCCAGTCCAACCTTGCGGCTTTGGCAGAGGGATGGAACATGACACAGAAGGAGCACAGAGGCAGCAGTTCATCGGGCAGGTTGTGCAAATCTTGTTGTAGGGACAGAATCCTTTCCTGCCTGCTGCAGGTGACAACAGCACAAGGATTAGTAGCCCTTGTCACGGTAATCCCAGCTGGAAGCAGAGCTGCTCTTCACTTTGTTACACCACAAAGCTTTTGCTACAACTAAATCCATGCTAAATACTTGTTGTTTAAAAGAGCATGATACACCGTTCCCACGCTTGGTTTTAATATTAGTCACAGGAAAGATGTGTTTAACTAAAATTGGAGAAGTAAATCCCCCAGGTCCTAAAAATACAGGCAAAGCAACACCAAAAATTCCACAGTCTGATAAAAAACATCCCTGGGTAAATCTGGAAGCTGTTACCTGATATTGTGTAATTGGAACAAATAATTGCGGGTCTAGAATTAGCCATTACGGTTGTTATTCCAGCGGGAAAACGCACAGGAGCGGCAGTTATCCTCCTTACCTTCTGTCGTGTGCTCTTAGCAAGCTTCCCTGCTGTGGAGAACATGCTGTGCCGGGCAGGAAGGGTCAGGCTAAATAGCTGCATTAAAAGCTCTGTCCAGAGGGAGTCAGGCAAGTACCTCCTCTTCCCCCACGGATCCTACGCCACAGCGGCGCCTGGCGAGCTCCTGCTTCAAACAGATCTGTCCCCAGCAAGAGAGTTTTTCTCCCCATTCATCTTAACTGGAGAGCAGCAAACGGAGCCTCCAGGCTCGGGAGAGCAAGTCCTGAGCTCCCTGAAGAAGGGGATCACTATTCCATCTCCTTTCGGCTGTGTTCTCCTCCTCCTTGCTTTCATAAAAGCAGCCTGGTCAAACAGTGCAGCATCTCTTCACTGATGAACTCAGGCTCCCAGTCCCCGTGTTTGCAGGGATTGATCCTGGCAGGGTTCTGCTCTAGTCTCAGTTGGCTGATACCAAGTTTTCACCGTAATAACTTTGGTTTGGCTCACACACACCTTCAGGACCACTTCCAGGACCCTGCAGTGCCCCCTGCACCCCACGACACCCCCGAAAATAGGGTTCAAAGAGTCTCTGCTGTCCTTTACAGCAGCCAAAGCGAGCAGCCCAGCCCCACTGCATTTCAGGTCTTTGTCATTTCTTTAATTCAAGAAAAAACTGACTGAGCTAGAGCATACTGAGCCTGCCTGTGTTGAACTGGCGAGTCCTGCTCCAAGGGCAGTGGAAAAGGAACAGCAGGTGCTGCTTGCCTAGAAATTGGTGGCACCAGAAATCAGTTAACTGCTGGTGATCTTAGGCTCTGCTAGAACAGCATGTTGAGGTTAGAGTCATTCCTAGTCAAGCCTGTGAATTAGTGGCTGTTCTCCAGGTCCCAATTTCAGGCAGTAATCCTGGCTGGTTCAACAAGGTGCAAAGTTAACAAGATGACAAAGTAACCAGAGAGACATTAAAACAGTCAAGCTCAGTGCTGGCTCACTGGTGTCCCCCACACCCAGAGCTCACAACAGCGTCCAGCTCCTCCCTGGAAACAAGGCCAGGGTCTGGATGTGTCCATCAGGTCTCTAGCACCTCAGCTGGCAGCTTCAGTTCAACGTAGCTCTTCTCCTCCACGTGGTTTGTCTGTTCCAGGAGCCATCGTCTTTCCTGGTCACTGACCTCCAGCCTCAGCATCACCTCCTGGAAAACGCTGTTCACAGCAACCTGTATCACACAGAGGGAAAGCAGCTCAATCCCAGCCTCAGGACTAACTCTCTTCACCTTCTCTGGGTAGAAGAATGGCTCTTACCTCTTTAAAATGAAGTTTTTTGAACATGCAGATGCTGGCGTCATTCTCCTGACCAATCTTAGCCTCAAATTTGGTGATCCCCAGGTTTCTCACTCCTGCAAGAGAAATCAGAAGCATTTCTGTTACCTGCTTGGCTGCAACATCTATGAAAGTATTCAATTTCTGGGGCAGAGGCAGGCCTTAATACCCTGGCTGTGTCACTGGGACTATGCGCTTCTAGATCATATCCTGACTGTACTCCCATTCCTGTGCACTGAGCCAACCTTACCATAGGACATCATCATCAGAGTTGCCTCCTTGCCAAATCCTCTGCCTCGGTAGCTGGGCTCTGAAAGAGACAGCCACAGAAGTCAGCATCCACTTGGGTGAGACACTTTGCAGAAGAGACTGTGACCTGGGACCAGCAAAGGATGCTGCTCAGGAGTGAACAGCCACAGTAAAGCAATGAGACTAAAAAGCTGCTGTACACAACATCTGCAGCTGGCTTTAGCCATGGCAACAAAGGTACAAGCTATGAAGCAGAACTTGACCTGCAATCATAATTTCAATCTCAGCCAAAGTTGGATCCTCAGGGTCAGTGAGGAAGAGGTTCACATCTCCCACCATGCAGTCCTCATCCGCCTGCCCGGGCCACCGCTCCGCGTCCAGCACAATGAAGGTACATTCTGGGGAAAACAAAACCATAGCAGAGTTTTCAGGGCACAAATTACTGAAGGATGAAACTAAAGGCATGCAATGGACAGAGGAACAACAGTTTTCCATGTGTTCACAGTGAGGAAAAGCTTATAACTGAGCTTCCCATACCAACTGTGCCTGCTCTCATCCATAGAGATGTAGAGACCCCTTCTAAGGGTGGTGCAGGCACCAAGACCAGAAACAGCCTGTTTAAGGAGAATGGAAACTTTCAGCCTGTGTCTGAGGTCTCCCTGCCTTGTCTCACTCAGCAGCAAGTTCAGGCAAAGAACTGTTTGGTGCACCAGAGACTGAGACCTAATGATTCATCTAGTCTGTATTATTGCTGCTTTGAGTAAGGCTTCTAATGCCAGCTAAGAAAAATGCTCCACACTGAGGTCTTTGTCAGCATCAGTATTTTCTAGCTCGCTGTATTTCTACCAGGTTTTTATGGGCAGTGATTCACTACCTGTAGGAGAGCCAGGGAACCAATTCCAGCACACCTCAACCAGGTAATTCTAGAGCAGTTCAATTTCTCAAGGAAAAGTACGACTCCTTTCTACCTTTTTATGATGATCAGACCTGGGGAGCTTTGACTGTTCAGAAGCAGCTCAGCACATAAAGCAGTGGGAAATAAATCACTGTAATCTCTGAAAAACTGCATAAAAAGGACATCAGCAGCCCCGACACTCTCTAATTCCTGAGCATAGGCCAGCTATAAACAGAAAACCAGTTCAAAGCAAGTAGAACCCACTCACCGGGTGCTCTCAGCCCACTGTGGGTCCTTCAAAGGACCGAAGGGACCTGCTCCCCACTCCCTCCCACCCACCCTCAGAGGTGTTTAAGGTCCTCACTGTCTGCGTCGTCCCTCCAGCTGCACTGCATCTCATACTCCTGCTCCAGGCTGAGGGGTTCAGAGGCTGTCAGGCGCTGCAGCTCCTCTGACTGCATCCACTCGTGGTACCTGCCAACGGGACCCACAACCACATCACTGCCTGAGCTACAGCATCACAGTCTGATTTCCACAAATGCTCTGAGGATTAGACTGTCATAAACTGGTTCTAGAAACACCAGCCTGGCATTTATGGCCTCCACAAGCCTCTCTCCCTCGTCTAACACAGGAATTGGTGTTCTTTGTGGAAATATAGCAGGTTGGGCCATCCTGTGGCTTTGTCTGAAGAGTGACTGATGTTTTTAAAAGCCCTGAGCACTGAGTTCCAGCGCATTTCATCCCATCTGAGATTGATAAAGCAGCTCCTGGCCACTGACAAAAAGACTAATACTGGCATCTTTGTGCTGAGGCTGCAGCTGCCTGGGTCAGCACTGTACAAATTGCCTTCATGCCTGCTTCTAATTTATCAATCCATCTGGCTTTACACATTGGAGTTTTGTTCTTCCATTGG